GCCATCGCAGCAGACTCATCACCAGGGGCTGACAATTCAACTCGGCACATAATAAATGAATAAACCAGTACTTACTACTATACTAGTGCATCGGGAATCCGAGAACGCCCGGTGATAAAGATGACATGCCAAGCAGTACACGTCGATGCGCATAGTATGGACGACTGTCATCGATTATCATTGAAGTTGTTATCAAGTTATTAAATGTCAACTGCCCATCTAGTGATAGACTGATAGTGCCGGTGCCAAAACCGAGTTGCGACTCTTCAACTTCTAGTAAGTCCCGTAGTCGAAGTATATTATTGTACAAACCGGTGACCATACACTGCCTACTGCGGTGGCCCGTTACGGTGCTCGCTTGATCTTGAAAATCTCGAGTGGATGTGGTGCTTGAAATTGGAATGAGCTGCAACATTTTACTAGAGGCTGGGCCGAGACTCAAGGTGGACTTGGGTTGGAGAGAATGTGGGTACCGGAGTGTCTTTCTCTAGGTCACAGAGATGCGTGTATGATAGCGCGTCTTATGCTGCTTCACTCACCTCGTGATTCTATGATAGACGCCCAGGGCATGACGGCATTTGGACGACACATTGTGAGGCACGTCGGGCCGAGGCAGATGCGGCAAGACCGCACCACTTTAGCATCAGTGCGGCCCCAGGCTGATCAGTCAATATGCATGGACGTTACGTCTTCCCTTCAGCTCTGGATCTTAATTATATTCTGTTTTGGATAAGACAACTGGTGCGATTACCGGCCAAGTAATATCAAGAATGTTGGTTACAATCAGATGTTCCAGGGCAATCATTACTCAATAGTCAATATCGCTGCGCGGACGAAAGATTGACTTGTTGCACATGCTGTGGGTAGTTATCTACATTGCCCCCACAAGGTCATACGATTATTAAAATAAGATGGTGTAGACATTGGACTAACAGTTTATAAGATCCCACATCTCCGCATGATCCGTGCGAGATGTGGTTTGAAACGCTATAGGTTCAGAAACCACTCCCAAGACAACCGGCTCGTTTGTAACAACATCCTGCGATTCGGACATTGTTCGTAAATTGAACAGGATGCGTGAGGCGAGAACGCTATGCGTGACTAGTTGTGGACTTCTCCGATTCAGCTCAAAACACGAAGTAAGCAATGAAACGGTTTACCCAGCAAGAAGTGCAGTATAGGATAACTGGACGCCTGGATCAGAAACTTATATTGTGGTATGAACGAATTGCTCACCGGTAGTAAAATGATGGAAACGCAATTCGCCATCGAGATCACTGCGAAAAGTAAGGCCGCGTCACTCACAAGAGGTTTCGGAACTCACGAGTAATACATAGCATGTAAATTATGCCATCCCGACATAAAGTAATCACCAGCGGACTGCCTTTTAGTCGGTAAGATTTGAAGCGTTTGTACAGCGTTAGGGACATCAGCACTGGCGAGGATATGCGGTTACTGAGCAGAACCATTACAATACTACGTACCAAGCTCAACCAACATCAGTAAACCATAAATAATGCTAGAGGCGTGTCCCTCCTCAAATATACCGCGCGATGGGTCTGAAAAGAAGATGGAGTGAACAGAAGAAACCAGGGAACAAATACAGACCTCCAAATTCACCTGCTTCAACATTTGAGAGTACCAGCACCACTACTGAGACGGCCTGATTTCTTTCGAGTCAAAAGCAAATGGCTGAAGAGTAAGGAACAAAGTCACCGTGGTAAAAACTAATGTCAAAGTCAGGAGCCTCTTATCACAACCCCAGATCACGTATGTCCTCATCACGAGCAGGACTTTTTAAAAAAGGAGTCGTGAAGAAAGAAGCAATTTAACTCGGAGTTGGTGCTCACCTTCAGCAGCAGCGATACACAACCAGCGAATCACTAGAAAATGATTGAGCATTTGAGTGTAAATGATGCTCTTGCAGACACAACCTCCGTATACAATAGTGAACTTCCTATGATTAGACTGAAACGTCGATGTAAGTACTTTTAACGTTGTGTCACAGAGAGCTTACAATTCCTCCATGAGTAGACTCGACCGAATCTATCCGAGGGCCCTCAGTGAAGGGCAAGGGTAGACAAAGGGTCATGAATACTCACAGTATACGGTCATAGCAAGGCCTACGAATGGCAAATAGCGAGAACTGACAAAGATTATCCTCGTGATCCCCCACCTTCTTCCCCATGTCCAACGAACCTGTTATCTTGTCAGCTTTACATAGGGCCACTGAAAGATAACTGACCTCCGAGTCGAAAGTAATAATGAAGTCAAAAAGCTGCCAAGAAAAATTAGTATAGCTATGATCACCTTCCGTTTGGTCCTCCTTACCAAAGCTGCTATAGATGCAACTGTCAGAAATATTCAATTTTGTGAAACAAAACGAGAGTCAAATGTAGACCACCTGCGGTATACTGGATTCAAATGAGCAAATAAAGTTGGCAGGTCATGAGGAGTAAGTACGCACTGCAACAGTTTGAAGACCAACGGAATCGGGAAGATAGTCCATAATGAGCTGCTGGTATCAGGTAGTCTCCTTCAAGCTTTGCAGGTGTATTCGTCATTCCCTTTCCTCGAGTCACTTTTAAGTAGTAAGTAGTAACTCCCACAGCAGTTGAAGTTGAACACAGCACTGAGCATGGCAGGTTCGACCATCATACGTAACTTAAACCCTCCAGAGCTCCAACTTTCATTCTCGCTGGGGGATCTCAGTCTGTTGATATGCCGCGGCAGAGTACGTAAACAACATGTTACATGTAAGAGCGCTCACGACGCCCGCGGCCCCACGCGCTGCTTGCTCACTGCATTAATACTGCATTTGGGGATTTTATATGCTATTATTTTCCCGGCGAAAAAAATTTCGTGAACAGCATCACTACCTGACGACAGGCAGAGTTTACACATGAGACTGCCACACACCCGCCTAGAGAGCTGAGGACGGACCTCGTTTACTAGTCCGCAACAGACGAGCAATTTTGCAACCACTTCGGCCTAACAGTAGATGGGCAAAACGCGCGAAGGTATGGAAAGTTGATGACGAGTACATACTACACTCATCCTCGTTGGACGTATCCTGGTCAAAGTATAAGCGTTTAAACTCCGCTCGGACCAGCTCAGATCCTGACTTTCCGAAAGCCCTGCCGGGCCCTCGTGATGATCAGATCGTCATGTCAAACGGTACTACGCATGGACGATAATTATATCGTTGCCAATTCCTTTCGTTCTATCATTGTATCAATGTCATAAGTACGTACCTATCTTATCTGTGGGCAAACCACGCTTCCCAGGGAGGCAGTTCTTGTTTTCGGCTTACTTACAGGTTCTCCTTGTAGAAAGTTGCTTACAATGCCTGCCTCGAAGAACCCCAACTCTATGCTCAAGCCTGGCAAGAAGTCTGCTCAGCCAAATTATGTACTTGTCATCCATGGGGGTGCTGGTACCATGATACGGGAGGGCTCAACGCCTGAACAGCGCGCTATGTACAGGGCTGCACTCTCACGGGCATTGAAAGCAGGCTATGAGGTGCTCAAGAGCGGAGGAGAGGCTATGGATGCCGCAGTTGCGGCTGTGTCTGTCATGGAAGGTGGGATAAACAAGTATTCAGGCAGTCAATAGCTAACTTCTAACTGTGATTTATAGACTGCCCGTTGTTTAACTCTGGGCATGGCGCAGGTCTTTAATGTTGCAGGCAAGGTGCGTTTTCTTGCCCATGACTAAGGAACCTTCATGTAATCATGCTATCTAGAATGAGCTCGAGACTTCCTTGATGGTCTCCAAGCCTCCTGCAGTCACACCCTGCAATGCCCTCCTCCCGACGCGGATCCTCGGTTACGTTAATCACTCACACCAGAAATCCTTCTCACCTGGCACGCGCGCTCTACCTCGCACCCCAGCTTGCCCCTCACCCAATGCTCTCTGGTGCAGCAGCAGAAGCTACGGGTGCTTCGCTTGGCGTACGTCAGGCTGATCCATCCTACTTCTGGACTGAGGCACGATGGCGGGAACATAGACGTGGTCTTGGATTACCCGAAGATCCCGTCGAATACCCCAGACCTGAAATACCGGACGACACAAATTCAGAGACTACGGATGTCGCCAGCTTTTCTGATGACAAAGTATAAGAGACCTGGGAGCCTCTTGATCTGATGCCAACGGGTACTGTTGGTGCGGTCGCACTTGATATCCGGGGCTGCATTTCAGCAGTAACCTCCACCTGGGGGACGTACGAACAAGCTTGTCGGTCGAGTTGGAGATACCCCTGTAATGGGATGTGGTTTTTGGGCTGAAGAATGGGAGAGGGATGGTGGATTTGTGAAACGCTCTTGGGATCGCTTAAGAGGCAAATCAAAATATGAGGGTGTGGGAGTTTCTGGTACTGGTGACGGAGACGTGAGAAGCAGTCGAGCAGATATTCAGCTCGCAAGTGCTAACCATACACTTTAGTACTATATCCGCCGTGCTGCAGCTTCCAACATTGCTCGGCGGATGCAATACCTTGGCGAGTCCCTGGACGAGGCGACTCAGAATGTCATCGATGACCTATTCAAGGAAGGAGGAATGGGTGGTGTCATTGCACTAGACAGAGACGGAAATGGTACGTTTACCTTCTCGTTTGAAACGGTACACTGACTCGAAACTCTGGGTGTACCAGTGGCTCTTCCATTGAACTGCAGTGGCATGTATCGCGGCGTTATTCGTCCTGATGGTGTACCGCTCACGGCTATTTTCTTCGACGAACAACTTACTGAACTCTAAACTAGGCGACCAACTGCACTTAGAGCGTACTTTCATGGTAGGTTGTTGGCGCTTTGATGGGACTCCGAAATACATTTCGCTCTGCAGACACTAGTTCATGTGGGACTTGTCGATAATTATTTCACTCGGAGTGTAGATTAGTGAATTTAGAATTCGCAGCAGCTAAATCCTGGAAGAACGAAACTCTTGAACTGTCGTTAGGGTACCACATGTGGTTGTGTATCCTAGCTCCTCCCATCAAACAAGTCACTTTGCCGGAGTGGTTAACGGGATCGCCTGCTATACACAGCTAAGCGGTTGGGCTTTGCCCGCGAGTGTTCGAATCGCTCAGGTGACGCTTTTTTGATACAGTTTGTGTTCGAGAGTTCCCACGGAGTCCAACATGGACGTCAAGTCATTCCACCGCAAGTCTGCAACAATAACTTGTAAGTGTGCTCACGATGAGCGCGAATAAATATGCCAATCTTCCTGACATCGTGCGTAATATCGCTGCTATTCGTGTGGTATCTTTACTTATTGCTTGGGGACAGGACACTGCACCAGATGTCTATGAAACGGAGGATGTGTTTCCGTCTTCTGAGACCAACGTAAATGCTTCTCATGTTCCTAAAATGCTACGCATGAACAACTGATCTCTATCAGAGAGGAGATTCCGATTCCGATGAACCCTCAGGTCTGCGGATACGCGCCCAGCGGGGTGCAGATGCCTCGAAAGAAGAACTCGATAACAGCAACTTGATCAGTGCTGAAGATGCAAGCAGACATTTTCGGAGGGCCGAACGGCGTCGTGCGTTATATACAAGTCTACTTTGTATCTCGCCATTAACATCTGACCATACATCAGGCCAGGAATCACGCTTTGCGTACCCCCCGTCACCGACATCCTCTCCATCACGTTCACCATCACCGAGTAGGCGGCCTCTCCCTGCGCGCCTACGAGCCCTACAAGCTGAGCTTGCTGCTTTGGAGGGTGAGGTTGCAGATCCGTCGAATCCTGCGCTTAAAGCTGAGGGTGTTGACGCTGGTGAGATGATAAGAGGGTTAGTAGATGTGCGAAGAAGGTTAGAGAAAGTCAGAATGGGGCGTGAGGGACGAGGGAGATTAGTTGGTGTTGTGCTTGGTGATGGCGGCAGGGAAGACAGTGAAGAAGATGTGGAGCAGGGTCACAGTGCGAATGATAAGGCAAAGGAGTCCAAAGTGGAGGGAGTACCGGAAGTTCGGGGCGTCGCTGAAATGGACAAACGAGTCGGGGAACTAGAGAAACTAGTGGGCTCCGTAGGCGCAACATTGGATGAGGTATGTGGTTTTTGATTCCAAGGTGCAGGGTGTAGTGTTAACCTCGAGTTTAAGTCCACGCCGATCACTCCGCCCCTTCTTCCTATGCTCACGCGCTTGAACTCACAACTGATGCTTTTGACTCAACCGCGGCATATCGATTCCATCTCCCGTCGATTGAAACTTCTGTTGTCTGACCTCGAGCGAGTATCTAACGCGCAGGCGCAAAAGCGCCATTCGCAGCAGCCTGGGAGTACAACGATAATTCCTGGTACTGCAACCCAGGATGCACTCCTCCCCCTGTTAACACGTCTTGCTCCTTCACTTCCCCATATCCCACATATATTAACTCGTCTGCGTACCCTCTCCGCACTGCATGCGTCTGCGGGTGAATTTCAGGGAACGATGGCAGCGCTCGAGGAAGAGCAACGTAAGACAAGGGACGCTCTGGAAGCTCTCAAAAGTGCCGTCGGAGACGTGGAAACTAGCTTAGAGGCTAACAAGGGGACAGTCGCAGGGAATGTGCAGGGTCTGGAGGACAGAGTAGATAGAGTTTTGACTCGACTCGAGGAGCTCTCAAAGTAAGTAGCAGCAGGCAAGTATAATGATACCATTAATGCGATGACGATGAATGCGAGTAAAATACAATCGTTTCGTGCAGCTTTTTTTTAATCAGTCCAGGTCGGTAACCCCGCTATCTGCAAGATACTCTCTGGCATGCTGCTTGGCGGCATCTGAGACGTTTGGATCTGGAGACGCGCACAATTAGAGGTATTGTGTAGCACGAGGGCTGATCTTACTGTGGATGGCTGCCTTGTATCCGGCAAGGACACGATGATGGTGTTCCTCTTCTGAATGTGTATCAAGCTTTTGCTGGATGCCAGCAGCCTCCAACACTTCTCTGGCGTGTTGTTTGGCTTCCTCGGAAACATTGGGATCTGCACGAATTAGCAATACGGTGCGCCCTCGCAAGCAACCGACATACTGGAAGTCGCTGCCTTATAGCCCCGAAGCACGTTCTTCTCATGTGCCTCGGCCGCCGCCGACTGAGTAGCCTTTGGCTGCGCCGGCGTAATCGGGTCCGCTGACTGACCCATTTCTTCAAGGCGTTTCAAGGCGTTCTCCTTGGCCTCATCCGACACATTAGGGTTATGGACAGCCGCTTTCAGGCCAGCAACAACGCGCGTTGTGTCTTTCGTGTGTTCTTTGGTTCCTGAGACACGACGAATTCGTGAGTGTGATGTGAGGAGACGGCTGAAGATGCGGAGAGACATACCAGACATGATTGTGTTTATTGAAGAAATCAAGGAAATAAATTGCGGATGTCATCTCTTAGGGGACGCCTTTTATGCTGACTTCGGGCACTAGGGGCTTCATGGACTGACGTCGGTATGATATCACGTTCACGTGATGTGTGTGTCAGTACAAATATTTTTTGGAGTCGTTTGTGTTAAGTACTTGAATTTCCTTAATGATAATAATATAATTGTCGCTCGTCGTCGCTCACAGTGGGCGGGCGAGTCGCGACACAGCCACCATGTCGGGACATGCGCTGACTAAGCGCCTCCCTCATAACCAGGGTTCACTCGTTTGCACAGCCACCAAGTCCCGCTAGCAGGAACTATAATCGTCGTCAACGATCCCACAGTTGTTAGTGTGCCTATTTGAAGCATAAGGTCCGTCACATCAATATGTTTCCTCTTCAATTGCACCCCAGAGTCAAGTACTACCTACTTTTAAAATGTTGCTCAGCCGCGCTGGGCGATCATATGACAGTGGGCCCCCAACGCCGCCGTCGCCGACTTTTGTCGTTGATGACGGTGATGACGAGCAGAGCGACAGCAGTTGTCCCAAGCACAGGTATGGCAATCACCGCAGGTCTGCATCCTCCAGTGATGCAACACCGCGTCCAAAACCATCCGTTTTCTGCTCGGGTCCCTTCTTAGCCCTGCCCACTTTTCACCACGAGCATGATCGCCTCCGGCAGCAGCATGAAGCATTACTTGATGCTGATAATTACTCTGATTTTGATGGTTCTGCACCGCACGCGCGTCACGATCTGAACATTAATATCCTTAGTTCCGATCCGTTCCTTGCCGTGCCTCCGCAACAGTCATCCAGAAGACTCGGCTTCTTTACTGCTTCAAACAGTACTAGCAACCCCCGGAATACGAGTCCATCTCCTTCGAAGCACCTCAACCACAGTGACCGATCGCATTCGTATCCTCGTGCTGAAGCTGCAGCCTCACAATCCTCGATAATGGCTTCTGTCGCATCTTCGAACACCCTCAAATCACACACATCTCCCTCGAAAGTATGCCTCCTATTCATCACACAATCCCAGAATTGACGTTCGCCACCTTAGCCCTCCTCCACCCGGACTTACGATGCGAAGCTTGTTTCACGAGAAATGCACCGTCTCGGGACTCTCGCAGGTCTTAATCCCAGCATTGCCCCCTCCCTATCCACAGGTCCTGTCGCACCTCCTCTCACATTCACTCCATCAACCTCGCCATCCAGCAGTGGTATTGCAAGTGCTCCCACGCTTCATCCCAGCGCGTCAAACGTAGGCATAACGGACAAGGACAATCCCTGGCGCACATTACATGTGCATGTCCTTCCCCTCTTCAATGAGGAGCCATTACGTGTGCCCATGTACGTTTGTTGCGCGATTACCTGTTCTATTGGGTCTAATTATATACAGAGAAGACCTCAACGCCCTTGTACGGCGGCACATACAAACAGGTGCTAGCTGTGTCCCCTTCGAAAACCCTTGCAACTCTCGAAACGGACGCGCGCGAGCTCATTGCAGCAGGCATGGTCACTCTCAATGCCAAGCTCTCTAATATATCAGACGAAATATTACTGGGCCGTGTCATTGAGATCTGGGGCTTTTTTCTGGGACCAAATACTCCCGTACATCGAAGGGGTTAGTTGTCTTGCCCAATCATGACTTGTGTTTCTGTTCTAAGATCATATTTTAGGTCCTATTACCATTACAAACGAATCCTTTACTGACATCGCTGCATCGTACGCAAAAACAACATCGGACCTCCTCGCCCACACGACAAGGCGGTAAACTGAGTGGCTCATCAACACTAACTTCGCTATCTCCGACGATTGACGTTCGCAGCGTTGCCTTATGTGCGTTCCGCGATCGTGTCGTGCTTCCTATCCACGGCCGTCTACAGAATCTGCTGTCCCCTCCTTTTGGGAAAGACATGCTTGCACGACTAAGTCCCTTCCGCCAACCGAGATTGCAGCAGATGTGTGTGGGCTATTAAATTTTAATCCAAATGCTCATGACACCTTCGCTAGGTTGCTAGTCCTCACGTCTGAGCGGCGCGTCCGCTCTCCCTCTCCACCCCTTTCACTACACGCACCTGTTATTCAGCCTTCAGCAGGCGAGGCAGCAATCGAGTCTCTCCTCCGCCTAGTCTCCAACCCCCAGAGGCTTTCGCATGGACATGGTCTCACACCTCGGGCAGCCACGCCCAGCTTCCTCTCTGCCGGGCGCCCCCGCGATCGACGCGGGCGTATCGGTTCTTGTGGGGCTGTGAGTGTGCTTGGGATCGTCGGCGGGTGGGCAACGATGCCCGCGCGGACAGATGAACGGGAGGAAGAGGGGGAGGAGGAGGAGGGTGGGGAGACTCCGAAAATTGGGGGGATTGATAAGGGGCTGACGAGGCCGTACCACCAGCGTGGGGGTGGGTGGGGTCTTGGAGCTGGGAACGAGGACTGTTATCAGGCCACTTGAGGAAGACGATGATGACGAAGCGTTAGACTGGGATCAAGCTCAGGTTAGTGGGAGCTATTCAGCTGATGTGAATTTGCCTTAATTTTATATCGGTTTTAGGCTGTAGTCGAGAAGATGGTAGGGATAAAGCCCATTGAAGCCGTCGCTGATTCGCGCAGAAGGGTAACTTAGGTGATTATCAGTGCTAGATGTCTTCGGTGTCGACCATCTGTGTATTGATACTGTGCCTTGCCACGGGGTATGGCCGCTTCTCGTATATCAGTGTTCATATCTGCCCCACAGCTGATATTCTGCATGAAGAACAC